AATCTCTACCTGCAGTGTTCCTCATGAGGTAGTCAATGACCATTTTTGAAACAAATCAAATGATGTTACCTCTGGGCTTACCTTGTACCATCCCTCCCTGCTAGCACCACTCAATCCTTTTAGTTCCCTAAACATGTTATACTCTCGCTTATTCCCTCTGCCTGGAAAGTTCTGCCTCCCCTTTCCTTCTCTATTCACCTTCACCCTGACTTGATTAGACCAAATGTTCATTTTGTTGTTGTACTTATCAGTTATAATTTAACATTTGCAAGTGTGGTTATTTTATTATTGACTCCTGTCACTGGACTGGAAACTCCATGGGGAAATCTTTTCCTCTCCTTATCGCTGTGCTTCTCAGCAAGGTACCTACAACATTACCGATGCTCAAAAATTATCTAGTGAGTGAGAGAGAACACTGCCAAAACCATCTATCACAAGAGGAAAAGGGGTCACTTGAGACAACCTTAAGTCAATAAAAGAGAATAAATAAGTCAAAGAGTGGAAAGAAAAGAATTCAATATAAGCAGCCTGATTATAAATTCACACAATTTTAGTGTGACAGTATATAAAAAAAATTAAGTACGAGAGTAGTATAGGTTTTTGGACTAATGAAGCCAGAAAAGGAAATGGAATTAGCATTTTACTTAGTAATAATGAGGATGTAAAACATAATTTAGAACATGGATGACAAACAGTCATCTTAAATTTAATTTGACCAAAGCAGTTATTACTTCTCATTCCTCTACTGGTCTACTCCATCTCAGTAAATGGAATTAACCCCTAACACCATAAACCAAAGCCCTATGAGTCATCTTTGATTCCTCCCCTACTGATTCTGAGTATGCAATCAAGAGACCCTGTAAGCTCTGTATCTAAAAATATCTCCCATCTATCCATTTTTCTTTCCTAGTCTTCCACCACCACCATTCTAATCCAAGTTCCTCTACATTTTAGACTACAATATTCTAACTTGTGTCTCTGCCTTTACTATTGTTCTTCTCTAATTCGCTTACATAAAGTAAAGTGATTTTTAAAAGAAGATAAATCATATCCTGACACCCCCCTCTTTGCCCCAAACTCTTCAATGAACTTCTTTGTCTCAGAAAGTTTGTGATCTTTCATGATGGATGATTTATCCATGATAGAGATAGAGTTATCTCGTTATCTCTTTCATATCATCTTTGCTTGCTTTGTTTCAGCCCTAACAACCTTCTTTTTGTTTAAAAAAGAAGCTATATACACCTCTGAATCTTTACTGCCATACTCTAATGTCTCCTAGTTAAGGTGTCACCTCCTCAGGGTGGCCTTTCTAACACTGTTTAAAATGGCACTGTTTCTTTTCATTGCTCCATGTATTTCTTCCACACTTTTTATCATACTGTTACTATCTTTTTTTTTTAAGATTTATTTATTTATGCATATAAGAACTGGGATACAAGGCAGAGGTGGGGGGGTTGGTGAGAGGATTCACCAGAGACAGAGCAGGGAACAGAACAGGCAGATCTACTGAAATACACTGTTGAGGGGAACAGCGTGCAAATCAGGAGAGCTCTGCTGCACCATGTGGGTCACCTCCCTGGCAGGGGATTGAACTCATGCTGCAGTAGCTGGCTATAGCTTGAGCGTGCTGACGCTTAACCCCTGCACCACCAGGGAGGCCCCAGTTGCCATCTTTTTAAATTAATAGCAAATATGCTCCAAGTGCAAGAAATAAGATGTTGAAAAGATAAAATCATTGGTTTCATGGAGCAGATATTTTAGTAGGATTTAAAAACATGAAAAAAACATTATATGATAACTGCTATTATGAAAAATAAAACAGTGAAAGGGAACACAGAGTGTCTGTACATAGTGGGAGTGGGGGCAGTATGACATTTCACAGGAAACTGAAAATATGGATTAAGATTGTTCTAAATTTTTACTTATTTATTAAAAGTCCTTCCTACTATAAGTGAAAGCAGGGACCTTAACTACCTTATGTACTACTGTATTCACCTAGGCACGCACAGTGCCTCAAACAGAGTAGGCTGCTACAAATATTTGATGATTGAGTAAACACCTACCTCAGTTTTTCAAGAAGTCTACTGGGGAATAAAAAAAATATACTGAGTAGATATTTAAATATTAAATTATAAAAGCCTATGGGGAAACATTTTGAAAACATGTAAGCACAGTAATACAAAACCTGTCAAGTTATGGTGGAGAACTTTATTTTATTATTAAAAGTGTATGAAATCAAATCATGAAAAATTAAATAAGAAATACAAGTAGTAGTAAATATCAATCCATTTATTTAAAAACTATATGAAAATCAGATATGAGAAACAAATCCTTTCTGTCCCTTATGCTATTATAAACAAATCACCATTTGATTTATAAGAATGCTGGAGACATGGTGAAACTCAGATTTATCACACCTGTTCATTCAATGATGCTTAAGCCAGTTTGCACAAGCTAAAGCAACAGTCTGAAATTTACATCAGCCCTGCATCTCCTTTGCTTTACTTTTTTATTCTCCTTATGTTCATCTAGTCAGGACTTAAACTGAATCAGAAGCCCACAGTAGCACAAAAGTACAATCAACTGCACCACACTGAATCAAATAAGCATCAGTAAGCATTCTTGACGTTCCAATTCATAACACAAAATCACACACAAAGCAACAACTGTGACACAAGCTACAACCACTCTCAGCTTCTGACAGGTACCTATTCTGCTCCAATTAGAATGAAAATACTATGAAATGAATCCAGAACTTACAGGCTTTCCACATCTTCTTACTAGGAATTTTAGAGACAGCTCTCAACAGTTTGAGGTAGAAAGGAAACTTGAAGAACTTACAGGCTTTCCACATCATCTTATCAGAAATCACATATAAAACTCTCAACACTTTTAGGTAATGATTGGTTTGAATAGCAGGATAGTTTTATATTTTGCTTTGCTATATTCAAGTGAGAATTTAAAAAATTAAGATATCTTTTTCTCACCTATTGGTTCATGAGGCTAATATTGAACACCTACTAAGTTCCAGGAAATGTCAATATTAAAAGTAAACCAATTATGACAGTCCCTCTTTTGGAACAGACAAACTTGCATTGTGCTTTCTTAATTGAGATGTTTCTAGTTTTTTTCAAAGTATCGCTTATACTGAATATGAAAATTGCCTTTGCAAAATTACCCAGAGTAGTTAGTTAATCCTTTTTAAGGATCCCTGCACAGTGGCGATTCCTTTTCCTAGACAAGTCTGTAAACTCAATTACCAGTGTAAATACTGAGTTCACATTCAAATTAAGCAATGTGAAAATTAAAAGTTCCTGAGTTAAAATTCATTCAACAATGACTTTAGCTATGCTTTTTGGGTCCTTATACATAGGGGCAAAGAGCCAATATTTTGATCCATTGCACCCATCACAAACAATAACAGCCTTTCTTAAGACTGGCTTAGTTCACCTACAGCAAATTAACTTTCCCTCACAGAAGGGTTCCATTTTTAAATGGAACCACCCGAACTTCGTGACTGTCCCAAAATTGATACTGTGAATCTCGTCCTCTTTTTTCAAACAAACAATTTTATAAAGTACCTTCAGCAAAACACATTCCGTAAGAATATCAGGAAAGGTCAGGCCTAATCTGAATGAAGGCTGTAAAGGAAGCCTGAAGCTCAGCGAAAAACAGAAAGACCGGGGCGGTATTAGACGTACTCGGTAAACCTACCTCTTCCCTCCCTGCTTGGACTGGCCCCCCATTTCACCCAACCGTAGCAATTTCAAACTTTCCGTGAACACTAAACAAGACCTGGATGCAATTTTCTCTCATCCTCAGGCCGCCACCAAAAACACGTTTAAATGTCAGATCTGTGCGTGTACTCAAGGGACACCCACCAACTCCGGCTCGCAGCCCGGCCCACCCGCGCCCTCGCGGCGGGCCCAGCTCCCCGCCCAGGCCCTCACCCCGGCGGACTCGAACCCAGAGCGCTCGCAGCGCATTCCCTCCCCGCCAAGGCCCGGCAGCCCCCGCCCCCCGTTCCTCAGCCGCCCCCCAAACCCACCCAGGGGGAATAACTGAATATCCGGGGATCGGCGGGCCACGTTTTCCTGTGTCTCCCCACCCCGCGCAAGGGCAATACAGATATACCTTCCAGGAAAGTAATCTCCCCTGCGCTGCCGCCGCTCTTGCCGGCCGCCATCTTCCTCCTCCCACGCCGCCTCCTTCTTAATCCATGGCCCACACCGCCGCCGCGCTCGCCGGGAAGAGGGGCCGCACCGCAGGAGGGTAGCCGCCTCAGGGTTGCGGGCCGAGGGCTCAGCCGTCAGGCAGGCGGCGTCCCCACGTCCAGACAGGCCTCCACAAAAGCAGGCCGGGCGCTCCGGGGCCTCTCGGCAGCCGGCGGGCGGGGGAGCGGGCGGGCGGGCGGCGAGGCCCGCGGCCTGGGCTTCTCCTCAGGCCCCTCCGGGGGAACGCGAGCGGCGACGACGGCGACGGCGCTTCCCGGGCCCGGTGCCTCTTGGCCCACGACTCCCCATCCACCGCCCACCCAGGCCGCCTGAAAAGCTTCCCCCAGCCGCGAGCCCCAGGCGGAGAGGCTGAAGGGCGAGCACACTAACACGCCTCCCCTCGTCCCAGGCCGTAAAATGGCCGCGCCGGGGCGGCGAGGTCTCCGCGACCGTCAGGCGCCTCAAGCCCTTCGCTCCTTCTGCAGCCGCCGCCGCCGCCGCCGCTACGGCCGTCCGCCCACCCCGCCCAGGCGTGAATGCATCAGAGAAGGCCTTTGCGACTGTCCATGTGGACAGGGGTGGGTCTCGGCTGCCACCGCCTCGCGTCCGTCGCCACAGCAGCTCCAGCCGCCGCCGCCGCCGCTCCTCCCCCACGGGCGCTGGAGCTGCCGCCCGACTCCCGCCCCCGCCCCGCCGCCGCCGCCGCCGCCCCCAGCGCAGCTCCCCCTCAGGGGCCCGGCCGGCTCGCGAGCCGAGGGGGCTGACGCCCCGCACGGAACACCGCCTTGTGGCGCCGGCCGCCCCGGCTGTCGGTAGCCCCGGCCCTTTGTGGCGCCAGCTCGGCCTGGACACGTTTCGTCCAAAATCCCGACCACCGACGGCCCCATGGAGGACCCGGCGTGCGGTGGCCTCTAAGCTGACCGGTGATGAATTGGGGTTGTGCGGCCCCACAGTTGCCCGAGAAATGTACAAAGTGGATCTCTTTGCGAAGGCCCGGAGTTTAGACCCTAGCCAGCTGACGAGACAAGGTAGCGTGAGGTAGTGCAATCATGTTGGAGCAGGGGCTCGTGGCGTTCATTCATTTTCATTTAAAGTTTTCGAAATAATTTATCAGGGAAGCTTCTGCAGTACACTTTGGATGACAATCAAAAAAAAAGGTCCTGTTATTTCTGTACCGAAGACGTCCCAAACCACACCCTACCGTTTAGGTCAGGTCTTACTGTTGTTTGTCATGATAGCATGGCTGTTTTTCTTTTCCTATTTTCTTTCACTTTTTAAATTATAAAAGTAAGACATGTTCAGTGATGAAAATCTGGAAAATACGGAAAAGGAAAGGAGTTACACATAGCCCTGTCATGTATAAGGGAAACTCTGCTCTTTAGCTGTGTTGTCTTTAAGAAAGAAAAATCTAGGAACATAGAGCAATGAAAATTTAACAAGAATTAAAATGCAGAAAAGCTGACTAAGTGCAATCCGGGTAATGAACTGTTCTGTTTAACCAAGACATAAGCAGAAAAGCTTTTTGTTAAACTGCATTTAAAATCTTTACCTAAAATGAACGGATATTCTTTCCTGATTTAGTGACTAATGTAATGAATATAATTTTTTGTTGTTGTTGCTTGAGGATATTGCATGATCCAGTTGTGATGCTCTATGACATAGAGTCTGTGCCAATGACAGTATAATATTGAAGTGTGTAGATGATAGGCAGATGTGGGCAACTGGGCACATTTGTAATGACTCCAAAATGTAATTTTAAAAAATAATTCTCTAATTTTAAAGTACGTACATGCTGACTTTGAAAGTAGAAGAAGATGCCAGAAGGCAAAGAATATGAACAAAACTGATTCTCCGCTAGAACCTCCAAAGGGGACATCTATGACTCCTTGATTTTAGCCCAATGAGATAGATGTTGGACCTCTGACCTTACAGAACTGTAAGATACACATTTTTGTTAAATTGTTAAGTTAATAGTTATTTGTTATAGCAACCATGGGAAGCTAATACACATGGAATGGGAAACAAGGTGGAGTTGTATAAAAAATAACTTTTATGCAATTTGAATTACCCTCTTTCACACAAAATCCATTGTTTTATTTATTTATTTAAAGATTTATTTATTTATTTATTTATTTATTTATTTATTTATACAAGCGCTGGGTACAGTCAGAAGCACAAGCACGGGAGGGTGAGAGAATTCACCAGAGCCAGAGGGGAGAGCAGAGCAGGCAGACTGATGAAGTACACTGCTGAGGGGAGCAACTGGTGGCAGGAGAGGTCTGTGCGCCATGTGGGATCCTCGCCCAGCAGCCGGGGATTGAACCAGCGCTGCAGAGGCTGCGGGCAGCTTCTCAGCCCAGCCCTCAACCACTGCACCATCAGGGAGGCCCTCCATTGTTTTATTTTAAATCTTATTAATTTCAGCTAATCTCTTGGGATCCCAACTTAAAAAGTATAAATTAAACCAATGGTTCTCAAACTTAAGTGTTCATCAGAATACCCAGGAAAGGCTTATTAAAATGGATTGTTCTCACACCAGGGGAGAGTTTCCCATTCAGTGGGTCTGAAGTGGACTTAAGAATTTGTATTTTTAACAAATTCCCAGTTCATGCAGTTGCTACTGATCAGCGGACTACACTAAGGAAACCTCTCGGATAAAGCAGTCAATTCCTTTCCAGTTCAATTACTCTTACCATATGAGTCTGCAATTACTAGTGAAATGGTCATTTTCCCTATTCAAGTATAAGATTTAAGATATTTTCAGAAATCACTGTTCTTCCTTATGAATATTATCACCTAAGAATTGGTAGTATCATGTGTCCCTTTATTCAGGATTCAGGGCATAGAAAATCTCAGGCTTAGGAAATAGCCCTGAAATTTAGCTGTCCTTAGTACATATGTTCAATTGGTAACCTTTCTTCTTTGTACAAATATTTTTGAAGCTGAGGAATGTTACAGAGAATACCTTTGAATATTAGCAATAGGACTAATTACAAAACCAGTTCTCTGAGTTATATATTCAGTTTTTATTAAAAATATAGCATTTAAAAATATTTATTTATTTATGCGTACAAGATCCTGGGGTGCACGCCAGAGGTGGCATGAGTGGGGGGCAGGGGAGAGGGTTCACCAGAGAGAGTGGGGAGCAGAACAAGCAAATCTACCGAAATACAAGGCTGAGGGGAGCAGTGGGTGAGACAGAAGAGGTCTCTGCCATGTGCGTTAGCTCCCTGGCAGGAGATCAAACTCATGCTGCAGTGGCTGGTGATAGCTTGATAGCACTGTCTTTAACTCCTGTGGCACCAGGAAGGCCCGGCATGTTTTTATTGTTATCAGCTTAAGCAAATGCTAGTCAGATGTCAGCTGACTTATTGTCATTTTACACAAAATATAATTCTGGCATTAAATAAATGAAGAAAAATTTGGACTACTTTAAGTTTGAATAAATAGCTAATTACAGCCAGTATAATAAGCTACTTTATTTTTTCTAATTATTCCATTAAAGAAAAGTAGGAACAAAGAAAAAAATAGGTTCCTGCCACCCAAAATTCTAAACCTAGCCATTTTTTTCCATTATCTTTTTACTCACTTTCTCTGGCCATCCATTCCCATCTAACCCTGGACCTACTTACTTCTATTCCATACTCAGTTACTGCAACATCCTATCTCCTATCACAACTACTATGGCTATTTTCAATCTCATTATGATCCCTAAATCCTTTGTGTCTTCCATTTTCTCTCTTATCTTTATTTTCTTTCTACCTACTTTGTATTTCATGATACATTATTTATTCTTTTTTAAATTATACGCTCAATTCCTTTACCTCTCTGCCATTCCCCTGCTTTCCTCTCCTAAACCCTCACCCTGAGTAAACTCTAATGCCCACCTTCTCTTTAGGAACATAAAAGCGTGAGCATTACTGAAGAAAGTCACCCAACAGACATTAGTTCCACTAAATATCAGTATCTTAACTGCCACCTCACAGGAAAGTATTACCAGTCTTAGCAGATTTTCAGAACAACCTGCTCTCCCAAATGTCCACAACGGTATCAAACATCTCCAATTCTTTCCCATCACAATTCCTTATTTTCTACCTCAAAGAGAAATGTAAACCATAAGAACATTCCTTCGTTTATCAAAACAACCTGCATCTGTACTTACACACTGTTTTTTATTTCCTACTGTTAAAATAGAGGCAGAGGTCCCTCCTCTTTAACTCTGTCCCCTCACACCCTATAAGTTCTATATGCTAATGCCTTCTCTAGATCCCTGTTCTCCTCAAACGAGTAGACTTTGTTTTTTTTGCAGCAGAAAGCACTGATCCTTCTGTTAAAAACCCTTAGTATGTTTTCACCACACCCTGCATTTGAGAGCTTTGCAGGCAATTTACCATTTAACTTGTAGCCTCTTTAAATTGGTTCAAAGACACTTTTTCAGGAGTCCCCATATTATTAAGCATTCCCTCAGTTTTCTTTATTCTGAATCCTATAAGACCTAATAATCACTGGTGACAATCAAAGGACCAGTGTCCTCAAGACTACACAATCAGCCCACTAAATCAGAATTCAGAGGAAAGCAGGACTAAAATAATCTGCAGGATCCTTTGGAAGCATCCAAGAGCATGAGACCCTCCCCAAAATTACTTCTCTCTTCACTTAGTAAACAGTGTCATCCACCCAGCTGTCACCCACCAGCTTCACAAGCCAGAAACCTGGAAATCATTCTTGACTTTATTCTTACATAAGATCTACTTCTTGGGCCTGCCTGGTGGTGCAGGAATTAGAGTCTCAGTGCTATGAGGCTGTCGCCAGCCTCTGCAGCAGGAGTTGGATCCCCAGCCAAGGAGCTAACCCACATGGCTCAGCAGACCTCTCCTGTCTCACCTGCTGCTCCCCTCAGCAGTGTATTTCAGTGAATCTCCCTGTTTTACTCCCCACTCTTTCTCTGGTAGATCATCTCACCCCCTGTACCCCTGACCTACACCCTAGTTCTTGTATGCATAAACTAAATCTTTAAAAAAAAACTACTTCTTGGGCCTCCCCGGGGGCGCAGCGGTTGAGCGCTGGGTTGCGAAGCTGCCCGCAGCCTCTGTAGCGCCGGTTCGATCCCCGGCCACTGGTGAGGGTCCCACATGGAGCGCAGACCTCTCCTGCTGCCCACTGCTCCCCTCAGCAGTGTACTTCGGTCCGTCTGCCTGTTCTGCTCCCTGCTCTGGCTCCGGTGAATTCTCTCACCCTCCCGCGCTTCTGACTGTACCCAGTGCTTGTATAAATAAATAAATATATCTTAAAAAAAAAAAAAAACTACTTCTTCCATATCTCTTGATTCTATCCATATTTTTTCCAATTCCAACTCCCCTCACTCTGCCTTAGCCATTCTACCTTGCAGCCAACTGCTGTAATAATAGCATCAAACAAGTGATTCCTTGTTCTGTTTACCCATCTTCTAATCCATTTCTCACACAAAAGCCACAATCTTTTTTTTTAAAATACAAATCAGAGTAGATTTTAAACCTTGTTTAAAACCATTCAAAGGTTTGCCATTGCTCTTAAGATAAAACCTTAAGTACTGAATTGCTGCTGGGCCCTACCTACCTACTTCATAGCCTCTTGCAGCATTTTTACCTTCATTAAACTCCAACTATTTCATGTGAAATAGAATCAAGAGATATGGAAGAAGTAGTTTTTTTTTTTTTAAGATATATTTATTTATTTATACAAGCACTGGGTACAGTCAGAAGCGCGGGAGGGTGAGAGAATTCACCGGAGCCAGAGCAGGGAGCAGAAACAAATATGTATTAACCTGCTGGTGCAAGGCTATTTACACAAAAAAAATGCCCCTCAGATGAAGAGTAAAACACGTTCAAATATTTGTTTCATGAATAAAGAAATGACAACAACATATCTGAAATAACATTTTCCAAGGAAAAGTCAGAATCATAGAATTCAAGAACCTAAACTCCTTAGAAACCATCTCATACAGTCTTCTCAGAGGTCAAGAAAATATGTTTTCCATAATATGGCAGAA